TTATCTATGTATCTATGCATCTATGTATCTATCTATCCATCTATCCATCCATCCATCCATTCATCCATCCATCCATCCTTTCATTCATACAGAACTGGGGTACAGGCCAGAGGCACAGGGGTGGTGAGAGGATTCACCAGAGACAGAGTGGGGAGCAGAACAGGCAGATGGAAGAAGTACACTGACAGGAGCAGTGGGCAGGTCAGGAGAGGTCTGGTGCACCATGTGGATCACCTCCGGGGCCAGGGATTGAACTCATACTGAAGTGGCTGCAACTCGCTTGCTGTGCTGCGCTTTAACCCACTGTGTCACCAGGGAGGAGGGCCCTTTGTTTTTTTACAGCCTGATTACAATGTATCTAGTTATCTCTTCTGAGCTTATGGTACTTGTAGTCTACTGAACTTCTTGACTACATACTGATTTTCATTTCATTTGGGAGGTTTTAGACATTATTTCTGCAAATAATCTTTCTATCCTTCCTCTTTCTTCTCTTCTTCTGAACATTCCATTGAGCATAACTTGGTACACCTGTTGGTACACCACAGCTTCTTTTCATTTTATTTATTTTTTTTTTGTGTTCCTCAAAGAGGATAATCTCAATTGTCTTCAAGCTTGCTGATCCTCTTTTCTATCAGCACACATCTATTGTTTAGCCTCTCTAATAATCTCTTTACTCTGAGAACTGTTCATCTCTCCATTGACTTTTAAGGTTTCATACTTTCTGAATCTAGACTTTCCATCTAGTTTTTTTTATACTTTCTACCTCTTTATTAATATATTTACTTGGCAAGATACTGATGTCATGATTTCCTTTCATTTTTTATACACAGTTCCATTTAATTATGTGAACATATCTATAATAGCTGATTTAAAGGTTTTTTTGTTTATTTGTTTGCTTTTTTTTTTTGGTAATTTCAGGATCTGGGACCCTCAAAAACAGTTTCTAAGGACTATTGTTGTTTCCAGCACATATGTTATTTTCCTATTTATTTGTCTCATATAATTTTTGTTCAAAATTGAAAATTTTAGATAACAAAGTGTGGAAACTCTAGAAATCAGATCCACCCCTTCCCCAGCACTTTTTTTTACTGCTGATATTTGTCACTGCTATTTGTTTAGTGGCTTTCTTGGATTAAATCTATAAAGCACTGATGAGTATATTGTAGTATGAGATGACTAGTTTAATGGCCAGCCAGTGAATAGTCATGATCTGTGAACATATGGGAAATCTCACAGCCCTCTGTTAGTAGGTAGCAGAACCAACTAAAATGGTCCGGTAAGAGGTTTCTAGAAGGCCACTAAGGCTGACATGGAGGCTCAAAAATGTTGTGAGGGCCCAAACACTCTCCTACCTCCCATTTCACTGATGACTGATGGCAGCCATCTTGTGCAGTAAGCAAGCACTAGGTCAAAACTGGCCAAGAGAGAAGTATAGAGATAAGAAAGTCTTCCCCCTGATTAACTTCCTTTGAAATCTGCCCCACTGCTAGGCTTCTTTAACATGACTCAATCAAACTCAGTTGTGTTTAAGCCAGGTTCAAGTTGCAGTTGTGATACTTGAAAGCATATATATGTCCTAAAAGCTACAGTAGGGAAATAAACTCAAAAAGAGAACAAGCAAAAGGATTAGATTAGAGAAGACTCAGAAGAGCTCAGTGTGATGCAATCTAAGAGAGGGAGGAATTTTCCAAAGGAAATAATTACTGGTAATGCTAAATGTAGTAGATGTACTGAGGAAGATGTTTCTTCTGCATTATTTCTGCTTTTGATATGTAACCTCTTTAAATCAATCTGTATTCACTGTCACTAAACCAAGGAATTCAGTCTATAAAACACTCAATGGCTAATTGACGACAACTACCTTATAACTGGATTATGATGACTACAGAGTATGCTTTTACAATGAAATACAGAATAAATATGGTCAAGTAAGACTCTTTTAATAAGTACCTTAAAACTATATTGGAACTTTTATTTTGCCCAAGTAAACCAAATTTATCAGTGATATCCACATTTTGTTTAAGATATTCTTTAATAAAAGCATTATGAAAATTTTAAAACATAACCTAAAGTAGAGAGAGCAGTGTTAAGAATCCTTTATCATGTCCATCACAGATTCCAAAACTATCTTGTTTTCCCCTTCTCACTTCTACCAGATGAGTGAACTTTGCTATACTGCCTGGATGTCAAAACAGCCCACTAGTTCTACACTTATATAACGCTACCTTACCTGAATGGAAGCGGATGGAGGAGGAGGTATTTACTAAACTATTGCTGCCTGCAATTTACACCAGCACAGTACAGAGTAGTCCAACCTAATATCCCGTTCAAATATGGAAAAGTGGGTATAAATGCAAAGAAGGAAGATAGTAGTTAAGGGTAAGAGAATGAATAAATAGGAAATACAATGAGGGAAGCATCATATTACATCCATATGTCACCATAGGCTTAAGGAAAAGATATCTCTTAGCTCCATTATAACTTTCAGATGTCTGTGGGGTGACAACATATACTTCTACTTTGGGAACTAACTTGATACAATCTAATGAAAGTCTGTAACCCGCACTAGACTTACTCTGAGAGTCATTATGAATAACTCAATGGGACTCTAGTAATATTATTAATTGTTATGATTCTTTTGTTATAGGGATCCTGTCCAAAAACCAGAGGGATAACCTGTGGTACATTTGGTGCTTGTTCCTATTTCAGGCACATAGCTCCTAAAGTCCTTGGAATTTCTGGATCATAGAACTATCTTTTATTATTCATTGAGAGTTTTTTTTTGAGTACACTGAGTATGTGCTAATGAGGTGACTCACTCTGGGGCCTCAGGATAACCTCAGAATGGGGCAGGTCACCAGGAAGACCAAGTGATCAGAGGATTGGACCTCTCTGCTCTGTGTACTGTCTACTGGGAAGGGGAGGTGGTGCTGAAGCTAAGCTTTCTTGAGTTTCTGGGTCGGTCAATGGTTCACAGGAGGTTCAGCCCAGTTCCACGAGGACAGAGTTCCTATGTTCAGGATACTTCCAGGTCTCATGTCATATACCTCTTCACCTGTCTGTTCATCTATACTCTTTATAACATATACTTTAGTAAACTGACACATGTAAGTTAGTGTTTCTGAGTTCTTGAAGGTACTTTGGCAATTAATCGAAGTCAAGTGGAAGATCATGGGATCCTCTGATTTCTAGCCAGTTGGCTCAAGAAGCACAGAAGGAAACCTGAAATTGGGATTGGCATGGAAGTGGGGGCAGATTTGCAGGACTGAGTCCTTAGCCTGTGTGTGTGGGAAGGGTATATCTATCAGTATATGTCACCAGGGAGATAGTGTCAAAATTGAGTTACATACATAGAATATGCAAGTCAGTGTTCACTGAAAACTGGAGAATTGTTGATGGTATTAGAAAGCACACCTCAAAGATGTAAAGTCAGTTGCTTGAAAACCAGAATGTATTTCTTTATATAATCAAGGTATGTATAGCAGTTAGATGCTCATACCACTGAAGCCTACATAATCCATAAAACAAAACAAAACAAAACAAAACAGATGCCATATTTTGCATTTTGTGTCACTGAAAGTATGAGTTACTTTACCTTGTATTTTACTGAATGTCTAAGGAGGACTTACCAAAGCAATAGTAAACTTCTGACCAGTGTCTACCAAAATGATGTACTAGACATTTACATGGTTTGGATTTAATCTACAAATATAAAAGCTTCTTATTCATTTCTTTTTTAGTCATTAAGTTGTTAGAATCACTTAATTCTCAACCCTACGTATCTGTCACAGCATTTTGACAAATATTTTTAGCACATTTTTGGACAGTCTTACAATCAGCAGCTCTCAAAGTATGTATCAGGTATATCTGGAAGCTCACTAGACACATTAAAATATATGACAATATAAAAAACTCCAAATTTCTCACTTCAATTTTTTGTTTTGGAAAAAGAATTACTTTTTAAAGTTAGTTAAATTCCTTTGCTTTTAAAGAGCTTCAAATAAATATTAAATTTCCCTTCAGTTATACACCTAATAATCACATTGATAGATAGATCCACGCTCCCCACCAAAACTCTTTGGGGAGTTCGGTAATGTTTAAGACGTTCTAAAAGGAAATGTTTTTATTAATTAATTTGTTTTATTCATTGCTCATTTTTGTATAATATTGGATTTCTCCCCTCGTATGTGGTCCCCATAATTCTCCTATTGTCATGGCACCTATGACCATCACCATAGACCCTGTGCTCTTCCCTCCCCTATTTTGTCCCCTTTCTCTCTTCCCCACCTGCTGTCTGCCTCAGATCTACGGTTTGCCTATAAGTTTTGTCTTTTTCCTTACATTTTGCTCATATCCCTATATAGCCTCTGGCCTATATCCCAGTTCTGTATGCACAAATAAATCTTTTTTTAAAAAAAATGACTGGTTGATTGATTGATTTGTAGAAGAACGGGGGTGTATGCCAGAGGTGAGGGGAGTGAGAGGATTCACCACAGACAGAGTGCGGATCAGAACAGGTGGATCTACTGAAATACACTGCTGAGGGGAGCAGTGAAAAAGATAGGAGAGGTTTACTGTGCCATATGTGGGAGGTGACTGAACTCAGGCCAGGTTTAACCCTAGACCACATGGGAAACCCAATTTTTCTTTTTCTTTTTAACTTATTTTGCTTAGCATAATCCCTTCTAGCTCCTTCCATGATGCCACAAAAAGTGTGAGTTTTATATTTTTGATCTCTGAGTAGCAGTCTAAAGGGAAATTCTTAAGGGGACCTAAAGTCAAAATGTTTGAAACTGTTCTTCAAGCCAAATTCCCTTCTTCACCATCAAAATGAAACTTTTGAGTTAATAGGATGAAAAAGATTCTTTTGCAGTACATCTTGCAAATGTCACTGTTGCCATAGCACCTGTTTTGATACTCTAACTCATGAGATGCATCCTTTGATTTTGAATAGGAAACAGACAAGGTTTAGTGAGGATAATGTCTACCTTAACACTCACCTTCACCAACTCTGTGTAGCCTGTTTCCTTTGGAGTCCACCAAGGCTGGGCTTTTAGGCCATGAACGTTGTAGAGTGAGCGCTGCCAAACAGATGCAAAATGTCCCCTCTTGTGTCCAAGTTCATACCACTGATAAGCCTAAAAGACAGAGATTGAACCTCAAAGTACTTTTATTAATTGAAAAAATCAAAGTCATCAAAAGTAAAGTCTTTTTTGACATTTAACTAAAGAGTTTGCTAGTCAAGTGTCTAAAGATGTTACCTGGGTAAGAATATTTGATTAGATATCTAACTATATTATTATATACAATAATACGCAATCTTATATATATATTATATACATTATATTGTTACTGGGTTTCTAAGCATACTATTATAAATATGTGTGCATTTAGTTCACTGCTAGGTTGTGGGCTCTGTGAACAAGTTCACGCTTCATTCACTTTGGTCCCCTGGAGTGTCCAGCACAGAACTAGACTTATTTGTTCAGTGGCCAAATAATTAAAGATTCTAAAGCAGACAGAGGATACTTATATTTTAGCCTTCATTTCTTATGCTCCATTCCTGTTTCCTTTAAAAGGAAAGGGAAAAGGATACGATTGCATTAACACTTCAAAGATATTTACACACTGAATAAGATGCTAAAATGGAGAGTAACTTCTTTTCACAAGGAGGTCTCTATATCCTGTGCTTAAGGGGGGGAGGCTACCCCAAAGTAACAGAATGCAAATCTCCCCCTGAATTAAGTAGACAGGAAGGAAATATTATTCTGAGTTGGCAATAAATATAGTGACAGAGTATATTATCCTTTTTAAAAGGGAATTTATGTTCCTTTTTGCTTTCTTTTTCTGCCATAGGGATAACATTTGTGACTTTAGGCTATTTGTAACATGATACAACTTACCTCCGAGAAGACTAGACTAGTCATTTCAGGGACAGCTGGCTAGAGTATGTTGCCACATGGCCCCTTCAAATGACACCCTGCTCATATGCTCTCCTCGTGGCCTCCCGGCACAGTTTCTGTACCAGGAATACACCATTGTCTTTGGAATGGAAGATAAATCTAGTGGTAGATTTAATGGATCTCTCTCCATGATTAGAAGTCTGATCTAATGCTTGGTTTGAGAGTGATCTCAAATGTACATTTCAATCTATAGAAACAGCATTTACTAGCAAGCTGATTATGAAGACACTCAAGAATATCTTCAGATATACTTTAGATATGAATTATTAAGCTTTGCAAGTCTTTTACAACTCATGTCATCATTTTTATTCATTAGAAAGATTAAGTATCACAATAAATTATGACGTAAAGTACTTCATATTTTAAGTCAATGTTTTAGTTTACAACTTGCTGTTGCATGGATAGTTTCAGTTCATGGATAGTTCCAGTGCATGGATAGTTTCCACTAACCCCTAATATCTGCATTTAACAAAAGTTGAAATTGAGATTTTAAAAGGATAAATATTTTGAACTGTTTTCAAGGCTACTGGCAACTCTATTCCATTTTCGTATCATTAAAACAACAACAACAAATTATCAAAATGATCCCTTATATACTTATCTTTCTTATTAACGTCCCAATTAAGAATTTATATGCTCATCACTCTTACATGCCATTCTTGAAATACATGTAAGTTGTAACAGTGAAGTAGTTTCTTTAAAAACCAGAAGCTTAAAATGGTTAATTATCTGATTTTTTTTTAAAAGAATATTTTACCTCTGAAATTAATTTGGCTAGTTTACTTACTTTTGTCCAACTAAAAGATTTTATTTTCTATACCATTCATTGTTGAAGTAGACAAAAATGTTAATTACACCAGATGTTGTTTTGAAACTCTTACAGTCCATTAATTTTTTAATTATCAGCAATTCACTTTAAGGACTAGGTAGATTATTAGAATAGTGAGATAAAAATCATTAAGGAAGACCATAACAGCTACACCTTATAGCCCTAATTCATGAGTCAGTAATCTTAGATTTTAGTCCTAGCCTCAACTCTACCGTGTTAGATACCTGGACAAGTCACTTTACTTACAATGGCATGCTTAAACTGCCTATAGAGTCTTTTCTGACATTAAACTTATACTATTAGATCAAACAAGGCCCTTAATTTTGTAGTTCTCTGACATTTACCTTTTAGAGAAACAAAATTTCACAATAATATATCAGAAATTCCAAAAAATTTTTCTATACTGGTAACAGAGGACCCAATGAACTCAGTCTGATTCCTGTGTTGATTTTTACATTTAAACCATCTACCATAAACGCTGCTAGAAAGTCAATGATCCAGTTAGAATCCTGTGAAAATTTCCTCTTTGCAATATCCCTTTTACATACCAATCGGGAACACTAAAACAGGACACATTTTTAAATGTGTCTTATAGCAATAGCTGCTACACTTCAGATTATTGCCAGGTACAATCTACACACACACACACACTCTCTCTCACAATATAGAAATGACATCTCTAAAGAGATTCAGAAAGCCCAGGCCACATGTTTGGCTTATTACAAGTGGTCTTAGCTGCAGTCTGCTCTGCCCAAAGCTTGTTTCAAAGCAAGGCACAATAAACACTGCTTACGAGAAGGAGGCGCCCACATCAAGCCTGCTGAGAATGTAGGAGCATCACTCAGAAGTAGGACTTCATTTTTATGTTGCACTGTTAGGAGGAGGTCCCTAAAGCATCGGTGGACCCAGAAGAAAGCAAGCAGAAACAGGCAGATTTCTGCAGCCATCACTTGGGTGGAGGGTTCTGGAAGCTGGGGTCACAACCCTGCTGAGCAGGAGGGAAGAGGAGATACAAGAAAGACAAAGACCCAAGGAAGTGACTGTCCAGTCTGTGGCCCTCCACTGACCTTGGTGAGGAGGCCCCTGTTAGGAGGAGATGGAGGAGATAACACGGACTTGAATTTTGGTCCTGGGAAGTGGCTAATTATCATCAAATGAGAAAAGAAACCCAGAAAGAAAAATGGGCTAGAGGAAAAGAAGTGAATTTTCTCTGACACCACGGGGAACACTAAGCAGGCAGCAGACACAGGACTCTGGACTTGAGTAGAACAAAAGAACTGGAATGTAGATTTGAGAGGGTGGGAAATACTGGGAACAGCATGGCTGAGCTGTCACAGGACTGTCATAGTTTGCCTTCCTTCCTCTTTCTGTTCAGAAACAACCAAACCTATTTTAATGAAAAATAACCTCAGAAGTGATTTTGGATTTTGCCTCTGCAACACAGAAATTGAGGGTTTAATAAACCTTCTAGGTCTCTTTCAGGACCTAAAAAGAGTTCCATTCACAAGAACATGAGGATGGTTGCATTCTGATGGAGAAACTCAGAGCATGAGAGTGAATTCAGTTTCAACACCTAATGTCAAGAATATATTAACATGGGGCTTCTCTAGGCATGCTTTGTTCTCCTGAAAGGATGCATCTTTGTGAACTTTTTAAATTCAAGAACTGTGCCATTGTTTGCATATTAATGATAACTAAGCTGAAAGAACAGTCCCATAGGTTTAAATCTCAAGTCTTAACAAGTGTTTTGTGAAATCCTTGTCCTTGAAGTTAGGGCAGTTTTCATCTAAGATGTGAGATTAAATCACAGACTTCTTTCATCTGTTTTTACCCTGGACCCTGAAGTGTTCAAAGGTAAATTAATTAGTGACAATTACATTTATAGCTATCAGACATGAACATTTATCCAGTATTAGATACTATAGAAAAATCTTTCTTATCCCTCTGATTCAAAGGAGGTACCAGGAATTTGCATCTAAAAGAACGAAGGGACACATAGATGATTACTAATCATCAATTTCCTCTCCCTTCTTTCTTTTTACTTCTAAAATCTCAATCTATATCAATTGACTGGTAGGTTAAAAGAGGAAAGGCATGGATATGTGGGAACATATAAAGAAAATGTTGTCAATCATTCACATCTCTATTATCCCAAATTGGTCTGTGTCTCTAGCTGGCAATTACCCCATCACGAATCTACCTTGCTTCTCTGAACTCCCATATCTTTAATAATTTTAGAAATCTGAAGCTGTGTTCTTCCTAGACAGCAATGTAATAGTTAAAAAGATTTAGGTCACAGCTCACCCTCTCATCCCCGAACTGGACAGGAGCCAGCCCAGAGCCCTGTGATGATGTAGGGTGTGAAAGGTGAAATTCTCTGCCTAGCAATTTTCTGCAAACCATGATGGATTGTGAGAGTCTGGGAATTTGTAGTATATGATGTCATGATTAATGATCTAATGTTATGTTTAAAGAAGATGGCTTATGCTAAGGAAAATGTAATAATTATAAAGAAAACAACTAATTTTAGTTACTACATTTTTTGTATCAGTTACTGTCTTTACTATTACAACAGGTACTCATCTTAAACTTGATATTAAATATTTCAGAAGATACTTTACACAATATCCTCCTGGAAATTATTCTCTCCTGCTTTTCTAGTGTTTGTTAGAAATGACAAGTTTGCAAACCTATTACCTCTTTGTTCCCGACTCTCTGCATGGCGTCCCCCAGGTGGAAATAAAATCTCCCATCATCAGTGCCAGGATCTCCAGATTCTATTCCTTCCTGTGGAAAGAAGAGTGTTAGTATTTATGAAAGAATTAAGTGCCAGATTTCAATCAATGATTTACTGAATCTTTATAAATCACAGAAAAATTTGAGGACCAGAAATAATTCATCTCAGTATTAATGGTCGACAATTAGGTTACTGGTCAACATTTACAATGTGAAACCTAAAAATAATAAAATTAAATTTAACAATGCATTTATCATTAACTAACAATATAAGAGTCTATGACAGTAGTGTGATGCTTTGTAAATTGTTCCTTGGGAACAATTCATATTTCAATATCCCATACAAATTTCTTTGGCTGGGTATCAATCACATTTGTTTTGCTCTCCAAATCTGCCCATATGTTAATCTAGGGGTTGTATTCTTGAATCAAAATGTCTAGTTGCTTATAAGATGTTTAAAATAATAAAGACCCAGCTGCAAGTAACAGTTTTTCTACTCAAAATGAGTCCTCATCTTTCATAAATTCTTCATAAAAACTAGTAGGACCAAAGCCAGCTAGAGCCTTGGAAAATGTAACTACTATTGAACAAATCCTTTTAAAACATTTAGCTGATTTTTACCTCAATCTCCCACACAAAAACTAAAATAGAACTAAATAGTTCCCACATAGAATTAAAATATCTAAATGTCCAGGAATTATTTCTAAAAAAATCTGTATCTTCGAGACCTCTTCACAAGAAGTCCATTATCTTTCTTTGTGAAGAAATTTTATTTGTTCACTTTTGGAAAGTAGCAGCAAGGAACAGGAAAAGCAGGAACATTCAAGAAAGTCAGAGAGATTTATCAGGGCTCTTAACTGACAGCCAAATGTTCTTGCTGGGTGGGAACTAAATAACCCTCTGTCTTCCCATCTGTAGGAAGGAGGAATAATCTAAAGTCCCTATTATGTTAAAAGAAATGTAGGGAGAACACTAGTTTAGAAAACCCACATTCCCACAGGGTCTGGAAGGACATATAAAAGATTACTGAGATGTAGCCACACCGAGACGCCCACCTCAAGTGGATACCACGGCTCAGCAACTAGTGCTGGGATATGGGTCAGATGTGATCTTTCAAGAAAAAACAGATATTTTTCACGATTATTTACAATGTTGAGATTCTTTACTAACACAAACAACTGAAAAAACTGAGCTGCCCAAGCAAAAGATGTAAGTTATTTGCAATAAATGCGTTGCTACTTGAGCTCTGTGGTTTAAGAACTGGATAAGAAAGCAATCCCAAGCATGTAATACACTGCAACTTTCAAACAAATTCACAGGTATTTAATCAGCTATCTGTCCAATATGGCAGCTGCAAGCTACACATTACTATTTAAATTCTAAATCATTAAAATGAAAGATTCAGTTCCTCAGCCACACTTGTCCACATCCGGGGCTCACAGGCCACAGTGGCTGCATATTGGAGAGTCCAAATAAAGAACAGTGTCCACTGTGGCAGGAAGTTCTGTTGCATAGCCATGGCATAGAACAAATGTGATTGCAGTGAATTCATGAGCATTTGACCAGACATGAGATGGTAAAAAAAAAAAAAAAGGATGGTACATCTTCATCTGAATTTTTTGAGGTATCTGGCTTTTGAGATTTGACACACTTGGTCTACACTTGCTCTCTTATAACTTGTAGGTTGGCTAGTCCCAGTGTGAAGGAGACTCAGCATGTAATTAAATTTTTTTAAAAAAGATTTATTTGTTCATACAGAACTGGGGTACAGGCCAGAGGCTCAAGGGCAGCGAGAGGCTTCA